CTACTAGAAAATCTGTGAGTGGTTTCTTAGTTGAAATGTTTGGTAACCCAGTTTTATGGGGAACTCGGAAACAAACTTGCACTGCACAGTCTTCAACTGAGGCTGAATATGTTGCACTGGCAACTGGTGTTTCTGAATTAATGTGGCTAAGAAAATTACTTGTTGAGCTGGGTATCAATATTCCAGGAAGTATTCCAGTCTTTGAAGATAATCAAGCGACAATTAAAGCATTAAAATCTTGGGAAACAAAAAGGTTGAAACATATTGACATCAAATATAATTTTATCAAAGATCTACATTTGAATAAGGTGATTGATGTATGCTATATTCCAACTGAAGAACAGACAGCTGACATTTTAACAAAAGGTTTGGCAATTGAATTGTTCTCCAAACATAGAGAAAATTTGGCAATGTGTAAAATAAAATAATTATCCAGTACTGTAATGTTGTAATCCTGTACTTTGTAATGTATTCTAAATGTTGTTAAGTTGCATTTATTTTTCTATGTATGTCTATATTATAAGTTTTTGTATAATTGTTTACTGTTGTTACTATACTTGTGAAATTGAGGAGGGGTGTTGGTGTAGAGCAATTTCTCATAAGTATAGTTTCTCATATGTGCGAGTCAAGGCCAGAGGGAATACCATACTGGTCGGTGCTGCGAGCTGGCCTCTTTGTCTCAGGGGTGATTCATGTCTATGGTATGTGTACGACGCAGTGTGTGTGTATGTCTGGGCGCAATAAAAGCGAGTAGTTTTCGTGAGTACATCTGTGTTTCAATACAAGAAACTTCCCAAACCTGGCGCAATTACAACACTTCGACTGGTCAAGTTGGGTCTGATGCGAGGGCCGAAGGCCCGAGGAAAGGCCGCCGGCAGGCCAAGCTGGGCCGGTCCCCTGTCGAACCGAGTTGCCGGCGCAGCGAAGCGGAGCCGGCGGCACTGCTCCCAGTGAGGCGGCGTGGCGGAGTGCGTTCAGCGCTCGGCAGCAGAGCGGGAGGTTGCGGGTTCGACTCGCGGATGGGGTCTTTGTTTTTTTATCTCATTTTTCTTTGACTTTTGGACTTGGGGCACCACAGGCAAGGTTCGCCAGGTGGACTGATGATAGAATGCGGCCGCTGTAGAGGAGAACGACAGGACTTGCGTGCGGCGCGCAGTGGCCACTGCTGGCCTAGCGGAGGGTTGGGGGCAATCGGCGGAGTGGCAAGGCTACCCGGTGGGACTCCTCCCAGCGAGGCGGCGTGGCGGAGTGAGTTCAGCGCTCGGCAGCGGAGTGGGAGGTTGCGGGTTCGACCCGCGGCAGCAGTGCGGGTGGTGTCGCGGGTACGACACGCGCGAAGGGTGTGCGTCTTTTTAATCGATTTTCTCCAGCTTTCGAACAAAGGGCAACAGTGCTTGTAAGACGACGACGCGGGCCCAATGGGGCAGAAAAAGTGAATTGGCTTTACGTAGACGAACGGTCCAGCATGGGCCCAAAGGGCCGCAAGGCAGCAAAAGCAGGTCAAGACGGGGGAACCGAAAAAGGACCC